AGGCGCATGCGCGAGGCTGACCGTGATGGCCGCGGTTTAATCAGCTCCGCACCGGACTGGGCGCCTTACGGATCTTACGGCTGATATTAACTGCCCGAATCTACACAACCACAGCGGGACCTGAGAGAGGATCATTCGGGGCACCGATTGATGCTAAAATGGGTCGCACTTACCCGAAGAAGAAGCCCACGCTTAGCCAATCGACCTTGCATGAGGCCTTGGGTAGGATGTCGCGCCGATCCGCGTACAGAGCACCCCCGCCGGACGAAGACACGAGGTCCTCAGTAGACACCATGGATCCAGTTGGTGACGATCCTATTAACCCCTTGCCTGACCAACAGATGGCTATGATGGCGCAATTCGAAACTACATTGCACAAAGCCCTGGACAAGATGTCCAAACAGATAACGACACAATTGGTCCGGGAGATCCGGGAAATCGGGAAGCGGACGACGGTGTTAGAATCCAGATGCAATGATATTACCACCATCATTAAGGGGCATGAAGACGAACTGGAACGCCTTCGCAACATCAACCTGTCCCTGCATTCCCAGGTAGAGGACGCTGAGAACCGTGATCGCCGGACGAACCTGCGTATACGGGGTGTACCTGAGAGCGTGGTTGATCTGCAATCCACGATCACAGCTCTGTTCCAAGAACTGGCCCCGGACTTACCCATAGACAGATTGGAGTTTGATAGGATCCATCGGGCCTTGACTAGGCGTTCAGTAGAAGGGCCCCCGCGGGGTATTATAGTGCGATTGCACTTCTACCGCACAAAAGAGCGCCTTCTCCAGGCGGCGAGAGACAGCCCGTCCCTTCACTTCCAGGGCTACTCCTTCCAGATCTTTTCAGACCTCTAACCGGTTACGATCGCTAAGCGGAGGGAATTCCGTGTGATTACCCAGACCCTGCAATCAAAACGGATTCGATATCGGTGGGGATTCCCGTTTAAGCTACAATTCCTTTTCGAGAACAAGACCTACACTTTTACGACGGTGGATGATGCGACCCGTTGCCTGGAACAACTTGATCTCCTCAATCTGCCGGTGGACATTCCGGGCCCCTCATCTTCAGGATTGGATGGCGGTCAGGGGACCCCGCGTTCATCCCGCTCCTCCGGAGGACGACTCGCCGAGCCGACAGCCTCCCTGGCCCCTTCCCAAGAATCGGATGTACTGGGCTGAGTATAAGCGGGAGCTCTCTCCCACCAAGTTTCTAACCTGTTTGGATTATTTTGTTTTATTCCTACCCTGTTTTGCCTCGATATGATCGCCAAGGCCTTGAGCATCGCCAGTTCTGTAAGAGGTGTTGGAATCTTACTTACGGATTTGGGGAAGATGTCTAGAACATGAGCTGACCCAGTTGCGTACAGCCGTTCTTGGATCGGGCGTCTTAGCAGAGTATATCTGGAGCTTGCTAGCTCATAACTCTCGTTGACTCATAACATCTTCACCCGGTCCGAGACATTGAGCACTGCACAAGGTGTGCACATGTCAGGGTCCCTGATAGTGCACATGACTGGTCTGATATTTTGTTGAAGGGGGATAGACCGGGGCCCTCATTTGGATATGATCTACGCTGAGAGGTCTCTGGGGTCCTCTGTGGCCCCCGGGACATCTCAGTAGGGATGGCTAGACCCCTCGACTTGGCGACCTTGTCTGTGTGATGGAAGGAATATGCCTGGACTCAATCCCTGAAGTTCTGTCTTAATGAGGTGGCCAGGGGACTCTGTGCTGGGGCAGAGGGAACTTTCGGGTCATGTTTGATGTTTACCCCCTCAATGTTCTTGCTTGGGTACTTGGATTTCCCCACATGCGATCCCTGATTAGGTATGGCACTGCGGAGTGTCATGGTTCCGGCTCCCGTACGGTATGTCCACGTCAACAATATGAGCCTGGAGTCGCATGGTCGTTGCATGTGGGGAATCATTTGCTCCGGTTATGATGTTTTACTTTTATTCTATTAAGGTTCTCCTGATATCGGATCTCTGGTTTCAGTAAATGTTTACATATAATTTTGTGTGAGATGTTATGTGTTTCAATATTAGGTGCTGGACAGAAAAGGCCGGGCCCAGACGGCTACACGGCCCTTTACTACAAAAAGTTCTCAGATGTACTTGCCCCTCATTTGGTTACATTTTTTAATGACTTACGAAAGGGCCTCCTACCGCCCAGAGACTCTTTGGTCTCTGCCATCAGCATGATCCCAAAGCCCCATGCCGATCACTCCTCTTGGGAAAATTATAGGCCTATTTCTTTAATCAATATAGACATGAAGCTGCTTACTAAAATATTGGCTCTCACATTGAATTTATATGTTGATGCCCTGGTGTCCAGGGACCAAGTGGGCTTCATGCCTGGACGTCAAGCCGGAGATAACATACGTCGTATATCCTTGATCCTCCACATTGCTCGCTCCAGTCATATACCACTTATGTTATTGTCCCTGGACATCACTAAAGCTTTCGACTCTATTGACTGGGACTATCTAAGGGGGGTGCTTCGGCATTGGGGCTTTGGACAATCGTTCATGAGATGGATAGACTCCCTGTATTCTATTCCTTCAGCATACGTGCAGTATCAGGGATTCAGGTCGGGGACATTCCAGATTTCCAGGGGGACCAGGCAGGGATGCCCGCTCTCCCCTCTCCTGTTCGCCCTGGCGATCGAACCCTTGGCCCAAGCGGTCCGCATACACAAAGAGATCCACGGCATTGAAGTAGCGGGGTACCAACATAAAATCAGCCTATTCGCAGATGATGTACTTCTAATGATCTCCGACCCCCTTAAGTCACTGTCCTCACTTTCGCCACTGCTACAACGATTTGGAACCCTATCAGGCCTACAAATTAACCCAAGCAAAACGAAGGCACTAAACGTATCCTTACCACCTGCTTTATATGACTCCTTAAAGGCCTCCTTCCCCTATACATGGGTACAATCCGCGCTCTCCTACCTGGGGATACATTTAACCCCGACGTATGACACTTTATATACTGCTAATTACCATAAATTATTTACTCACCTGACCTCGCTCCTGAACTCCTGGAACAAACACCGTATCTCATGGCTAGGAAGAATCACAGCGGTGAAAATGTCTCTTTTGCTGAAATGTTTATACTTTGCTAGAGTGTTACCCATCCCGGTCCCTGCATATAGGATGCGCCTACTCCAACGCCAGACCCTGAGATTCATTTGGTCCGGTTCCATCCCCAGAGTTGCTAGATGTCTCCTATACGCCCCCAAATTTCCATTTGGATTCGTTCACCATTTAACTCTCCGTCAGACCTGTAGCCCGTCACCCATCCTGCTTTCTCCCCCTCCTCCCTCTCCATCCCCTCTTCTTTGAACTGCGTCTCCTTCACAAGTTTCCTGTGTTCAGGCGAAGCCTGAAAGGTGGTGTGACCACTGCTTTATAGTTTGTAACAGGAGACTGATTAACATACACTGTGTGACTAGCTGTGTGCGGTTTATTTCCTGCGACATGCATAACACAGATTGTAATGTGCTTAAGTCCTTCTTGATTTATAGGGCTGTATGTACAGCCTTGATTTCTTTGTTTATGATGTTTATGTAAGCTGGAATTTCTTTATTTCTTTATTTTGGAAAACAATAAAAACTTTTGAACTAAAAATATACAAAAGCAAAATGATTGTGGTGCTGAAAGTAACCATATATACACACAATAGCAATCTGTACACAAGGTGCATGTAATTAGGTTAACTGGATTGAGCCTCTGTGTCCTGATGCAAAAATGTAAATCAGGACCACAACGACTTACAAAAAATACATTTGGGTCATAAAAGAGTCTTCATACACATAAATACGCTTCCATTGGTATAATGGGGAAACAAAGCAAAGCATCAATAAATTAGAGGCAGCATCCATCAACAGGGCCTAGGAAATACTATGGTTAAAACAGTTTTCACAATTTTAGTTTTGTATAGTTTGAAAAATATTGTCGAATTGGGTCTCATCTTCTGTTTTATACAAAGTAGTAGTATTATTTGTATAGCTTTGTGGACCTTTTTCACTTCTATATCACTTTATGAAGTAGTTATATTGCAATGACTTTTTTTTTTTTTTTTTAACTTTAGCATAGCTATGTATTGCTTCTTCAGATCCTCTTACCTTCACATGTTGCTTTCTATTTTCAATAATAGTACATTGCCATCAATCTACCTATCCTCTCTAGAATGTAATTATATGACAGTACCTTTACTCAACTATCACACATAATTCCAATATTTGCTGTCTACAGCTCGCTTACAAGTCTTCGAGCTAGAGTCTAAAACAAACATTCATCTGCTTACAATTTTTATTGCATTCATTCATGAGATCAAAAGGACTTATTACCTTCATGGCAGCTTTTATATTCTGTTCTGCAGCAGCTGGGAGTAAACTCTGACCCAAAATAACCTTAAAGGGGAACAGAAAAAAATGGTGTTGATGAAATAATATAAAGATCTCTCAGCATAACTCATTCAGTTGAAAATTGTGATGTGCAGGTTACAGAACATCGGAAAAACAGCACAGGTAAAGGGGAGAGAAAACTATTACAGATGATTTGATGATGTTTGTACAAATATAATCAGACCCTATGAAGCATTGCATCTACAATATTCAATAAGTATACTTATTACTTGCAAATACAGACTGGGAAGGATAGTGCAAATGTTAGACAAACCGCCAAAACAACTTCCCCAAAAGAGAGGTGAACATCCATCACTTTTTGAGTGACAATGGGCTCAAAAAAGAAGACACAGGAGGACTCCACTACTGAAGATAAAACATAAAAGAGGCAGACTGGAATTTGCTAAAATGCATATTGATAAGCCACTATGCTTCTGGAAGGATATGATTTTGAGAGATAAAACAAAATTGGAGTTTCTGGGAAGTCACATCAGCTCTATGCTCACAAATGAAAACAAAATGAAGCTTAAAAAAAAAAAAGGAAATACTGTGTAACACGGAGAAGGCTTGGTTATGATTTGGGGCTGTTTTATTGCACCTTTAGTCTGTGCAAAGCACAATACGATCTTAAGACTCTCAAGGAATTCTGGAATGAAACATACTGCTCAGTGTCTGAAAGCACTGTCTCTGTCACAGGTCATGGGTCCTCCAAAAGGATAATGATCAAAAACACACAGATAAAAGCACCAAGAACGGTTAAGTACAAAACACTGGACTATTCTAAAGTGGCTTTCTATGAGACCTGATCTGAATCACATTGAACGTCTATGAAAAGAGCTAACATGCAGTCTGCAGATGGCACCCTTCACACCTGAGACAGCTGGAGCGGTTTGCTCGGGAAGAGTAGGCCAAACTACCTGTTGGCAGGTGCAGAAGTCTCATTGAGAGCTACAGAAATTTCTTGTGTGCAGTGATTGCCTCTAAAGTTTGTGCAACAAAATATTAGGGTATGGGTCCTATAATTTTTGTCATGACGTTTTAGTTGTTAAATTATTTAGAATATTCTGTAGAATCAAACGCAAAGTCTAGTATATAAAATTTGGAACAAATTATGGATGCTAATCACTTTTGTCACTTTCAAGTTATTTCAGAGAACATTGTGGGTTCTTTTATCATGGAAGAGTACCAACACAATGATCCACAGTTGTAAAATGGATAATGGGTAGGCATTTGCTAGGAATGGTAGCAGAGCATTAAAGTGACTTAAAATGTATGGAAAGCCCAATTTTTGTTATTGATTTAGATAAGAGTACAGAAGTGTTAAAACCTGTATGTTTATTTTATTTTCTTCCTGCATTTAGTTAGGGGGGGTACTTAACTTTATGTCTCGGAGATGCAACAGGAATAGGAAGTGAGAGAACATTTCAACAAAGTGAGTGGAATTCCCCTTTTAGTGTCATCAAAATAGATTTACCCTCACCTCTAGTTTTCATTACTCCTCTAATTGAGGAACATCTCTTTCTGTTTTGACTAAATTATCTTTTTTTAGATTTAGCACAGTATATCAAGGGGTGACTCCTCTCCTTGAGGTGCATACTGCGGGAAAATGTCTTATTAATGAGGATGCACCACCTAAGTATTCAAAGTTAACAAATTCTGACAGGCAGTAACAATACAAGGGGAGTGTGAAAACAGGGAGGGAGGAACACTCATTATAGTTTGTGCCCCTACATTGTTAGTCTGTGATAAAAAAAAAAAATAGAAATGAACACTAAAGGTAATTACATTTTGATGATTTGTACAAAAACTTAAGGAAAGGAGTAAAGTAACTGACTACAAGACTTTGACCGATTGTGTGATTTATGTAGCAGCTTTGGTTGTAGGTAAACTGTACTGTGTAGTAACCCAGAAAACCAACCAGAAACTATTTTCCACTAATATGACCGGCAGCAGTGAATTGATAAGTGATTAGTCGCCATGGGTCTTTGCACTTTGCACATCATCCTTACGTTGTGCAATGCCTTATTATGCCTGTTAAAGTTCAATTCGGAAGAGAATATATACAGAAGATTATTGATAAATACATTTTTAGAAGTATAGTACCAAAAGCTGCAAATGCCAGAAGCTTTTTCTTGTAAAATACAACTGCAGGACACTTGCGTAAAAAATAGGACAAACTCATTCAGGATAACAAATGTCAGCAGCTCTTCAGAAAGAATGTCAGTAAATCCATGTATGTCCTCAATGTGAAGTAGAGAAGAGTATAGTGAGATTAAAGCTCTGATACAGAACCAAGAATAAAAGGCCTGATGTCATGTACAGCAGAAGCAAAGGTGAATAAAAGCAAGCATGCAGACATAAGAGAGGAGTTGACATGAGTGAGGAAAGGAAAGAACAGTTTTTACTTTTAGCGTTTCACATAATGTTGCTCTTTACATTTCAGGCAAAAGAGCAAAAGCACAATTTCAGTAGAGAGACATTACAGACAGATACTATGGATATTGCTAAGGGCGTGCAGAGCCCGTTCTTCAACTGAACAGCCATTACTATCTTCATTATCAATATAGAGCAACCGAGGTGGTCAAGCGTTCCTTACCGAATTCTGCATAAAAGTGAAATGCCCTCTGTCCTCCTTAATATTTATTCTCTGGAGCCATTCCTCAGATGCCTACATTTCAACACCATAGGCTGGACCAAATACAAAACTGTAGCCTTAGCCAATGACTTGTCCTATTCCTTAGGGAACCCTGCATTACACTACCTAATCTACTACATGGCCTAGTGGAATTCATAATTAAATCTAATATAAAAATTAACTATACAAAATCCTTTGCTTCCAACATAACCCTTTCCCCCCCAGACGTTGTGGTAACCTGCAACAAAATGTCCTATTTGTGTAGCAAGCTGGTGTGATTAGAGGATGTTTCACACATTCATTTGCAAAACCACAACCCCTGAATTAAGCCTTGCTCACTTTACCAAAAAAACAGGGGGGGATTGATCTCCCAGAACGAAATAAATATTACTGGGCTAGCTAACAAAGATAATAGACCGGAATATTAATTTAGTATACAAAGGAAGGGTAGGACTGGAACAAGTCTTAGTGCATCGAGATTTAAAGTTATAGCCATGACTTAACCCCTAAGCATATTCATAGAACAACCCAGAACCACTCACTCATAGGCCCCACTCTAAAATGATTCCCTGCAACTTATAAGCCTTTTTATCCTCTCATCAGTGCCAGGTCCCCTCAGGCCTCTAAGCATGAACCTGGAATTTAAACCGCTACTGTTCCTGAGCGTTCTAAAACCGTAGCATGACAACTCTATAACTGCATCATTAGCGGAGAATTTTTTTTAAATTTATTACACGTATGCTAACATCTGAGATTTCGATAGAAAATTACATTAAACTCCCAAACATTTATACATTTTCTGAAAGCAGTGGCCCTGAAAAATGGTATCTGCAATTTTTTATGTTGCATGGCATCTCTGCAAATCACTATCAACTCAATATCTTTTAGCAAACATTACACTAAAATTAATTTTAGGGCATAAAAGCACAAAATATTACCCACTTTTTTGTTTTGGAAGATTTTGGAAAATCTTCTTAAAACGATACCAAGATCACGGCTGCAGCAATAACTAACTCCTCTATTTCATTAGTATTCAGTGACAGCAATAATAAAACACTTCCCTGCCCCTCCAATCACTGTTGTCAGTGAGAGCAATAAAAAAATATCCTTCTTCAAAGGTGTCTACCGGGAGCACTAGAATAAAGATCCCCTTCAATGGTGTTCAGTAAACACAATTTCAATATGGGAGGAAAATCACTAGGGACACACTTAGTACCAGCAGTGTTAAATCCAGTTTAAAATTTGTAATGAGATCTGCAGTAATATAAATTGGACTACACAGAACTCTAGGCAGGGGGCAGAGATGCTGAAACAGCCTGCCTACTATGTATCGGGACTCCTAAAACCACAGACTAGAAGAGTATGGTGAATGGTCACTACTTGACTGCATTTACACTAGACATTACTCTACCAACTAAAATAGACAAACTATGCAGAGACAGCAATAATAAACACCCAGCTGGTTTACCCTGGCAGACAAGGTCAAAGTCTAGAACCTTTTATTATACACAGAAATGTGTTACTCACAGTCAGCAACATGATGTGTCAGTAGTGGTGGGCTGCCCTGTCACCCTAGATAATGACCTATGTTGAATATGAAGAAATCCAGCTCTGAAAACAGCTACTCTTCAATCATGTTAGTTATGCACACCTCCAGTGTATGTAGATGACAGGAATACTTTAACGTGACACTAAACTCAAGAGCTACATTTTAAAAATGCATTCAAGCACCTTAACTATTAACAAAAATATATCTTATTTGTGTATCACTCGGCTGTAGATCCTCAAATCATCTCTAAATTCATACTGACACTGTCCCTCATTCTGGAGGGTGTATTGGGGATTGAGTGGTACAGAAATAAGATACATTTTTGTTAATAGTCAAGGTACTTGAATACATTTTTATGATTTAAAGTGACATTAAAGGCATCCCCCCAAATGCTGCTTTAAGGACTTACCTTATGTGATGCCTCTTGATCCGAACACCTTTTTCCTTCAGCTTGTTTTCCTAAAGTCCCTCCAGCGCTGGTGCCAGTCTCCGATCCAGCGCAGACTCCTCATGTCCCACGGTGTCTGTCCAAAATGCGCGCTCCCGACTGTGTCTATCCAGCTTTAGCGTTGCTCTCCCCCTTTCCCCTCTGGTGATCTGGACTGCGCAGGTGTCCATCCACACTTCCTTCTTCACAGCGCTCGGGAGGCGGGACTTCTGCATTAGTAGGTATTTGCCAACTTTTTTTCTTTTCTTTATTATTGGTGGATATAGCTATGGCTTACTAGAAGTAAATATATGCCATTTTTTTATTTTACCCTTTTAACTCCTGAGTTTAGTGTCACTTTAACCTATGTCCTAAAATGTGTTCAGCACTGCTAT